TTTCACTCTTCCTCGCCCTTTGTCTCGCCATGCCTGGTCACACCAGCGAAAGAAAAAACGTAGACTGAAACATTTTCCTTGCTTATAGTCTTCTTCTTCTTCCTTCTTCTCCAGAAATTCGCAAAATGTTTCGCACGCCCGATTCAGCCTCCCAATTCATCACCGAGGATTCTATTGCGATTTTTCGCGAGGGCGCGGCACCGCCCTCCACGCACCCCTGGCAGCCGGTCTAATTTCACGGGCGAACCTAATATCTTCCGCTAGGTTAACCGTGTTTCGTGGGGATCTCAGCCCGCGAGAACGGAGAGGGAAGGTCGTAAAGACGGAGCCCATGGTAACAACCCCTAAACGCTACCCCCAGCTACTTAATCGAGGGTCGAGCCTTGTTTTCCCCGAACCTGTTCCAGAGTTTCGAGACTCGGTGTGTATGTGTGTGTGTGCGCGCCCCAACGTCTGAAACTGTTTCCTTCTCCTTCTTTGTCGAGGCGAAAAACCCCTCAAGCTCGTTATTTTCCGAAAGTTTTCATTCTCTGGACGTAAGTGTAGCAGAATCCAAGCGGCAATTGCCAATTTGTTAACGTTATTATTCTATCATTTGTTACTCTATTCTACCAAAGAATCCCGTCGAAGCGGAAACCGGTATCGATTAATCGCGAAAATTAACTTCCCTATCGAACCATGCTCCGGTGCTTCATTCTCGAGGCTCCGCGCGGCCGATGGATCATTAAACACTGTAGACGAGGTGAAATGTGAAATTTCCATGTTTATGAAACATTGCACGGGCAAAGTGTAACCCGATTATATCGGAAATCATCGAAAAAGGTAAATGCGATCCTAGCCGACACGACCGGCAGCACTGTAGCATTTTGTCAATTCTGCAAAACTGGCAAGTGACAGAAGCTAACTTCGAACTGAGAAAGTTTCGAAAATACCGTGATTTGCGATCGCTTTTCGGATTTTTTTTTATTTGACAAGCAAACAAATCGAGAAAGATTTGTCTTTTAATTAACAAATAACGCGGCGCGGCGACTGAAAAGAAAGAGAGAGAGAGAGAGAGAGAGAAAGCCGGCTAACTCGAGGTTTCTGACCCCGACGGCGGAAAATATGAAATTTTCGTTCACTTTCACGAAGCTGTCGGGCAAGCTTTCTGCCGATCGATCCGCGGAGCGTCGTGCGTTTCCATTCCTGACGCAATTTCCCGGCTCTCCTTTGACGTGGACGCCATTGTCTTTCGCCAAATTAAAATCGAAACCGTGAAATTAGTCGTCACGAATGTAACGAGCGAACAACGTACATCGGCTTCGTTAAAAACGCTCGTTAGCGTGGCATGGAAATTGAATATATCAATTTGCACGGTCCCCTGCGAAGAAGCGATATACGAAATCCCAGGAGTCAATTAGTCATAATTGTTTGTAATCGTCGTATGAAAGCAATATCCGCGTTGGAATTCGTATCAGAGACGTGTCGTGTGCGAATTCTACAAGAAGAAAGCTACGTCAGAAAGAGAGAGAAGCGACCATAATTTTCCAATTTTTCGTATCCGTCCGAATTAATTGGATACATCTTTGGATAAATCTTCTCAACATCCTCGTTAACCCTTCGACGAGTGCGGCACAAGAGTGAATAGAACAAATTTCCGGGACAAGTAGCCGAAACATGAAAAAAAGTTTCAATAAACGCGGGCCGAGAAATTAATAGTTTCAAAAGTACGAACGATTTTGTTGTTTCGGTTGAAATTGCTTGTGAAAATGTTAGGACACAATCTTTGAAAGTGTATATTCAATTGCTGTTCGTTACACGAAACGATAAATTCCATGTTAGACGAATGAAACGGTAAATCTGTTGTAGTAGGAAAAAATTTCGTATACAGGGTGGTCCGTTTAAGCGAGGCTAGCTAAATACATATCCTTTCGAATTGGGATGATGCGGAAAATATTTTTCACCTAACATGACTGGTTGAGGCCAATATTTTTTTGGTAAGAATATCGAAAGGACCAATAACTTGTAAGAATATTTTTTTTAAGAATTTTCCAAGACTATTGATGTTTTTTTTTTTTATTATATAGTGTATATTGGTAAAGACATATAAAGAAAATGACCTTGAAAATTTAAGTTTCCTTGGCCAAGACGCGAGACAATCGAGAGCCTTGTAATAAACCTTTACCACTTTTAATGACAATGCCCTCCAGTAGTATGAAATCATATCGACGTATTGAAATTTTCTTCAGCAATTCATAACGGAATGCTCGACACGCAAGAAAAGATCGATGCGACACTCGTTTGTGGTAAAAGTGGCTGAGAGAAGCAGTCCGAGTGTACAAAAATGTAGATTGATAAATTCTTTCGTGGTGAAAAGGTTATATTAACGGCTCATGACACTGGCTACATCATAAATTTCAATTTTAGTGATACATACTGTCAGTTTCAGGAGAACGTTGCCAAAGTTTCGTCAATTTCCTTTCAGTTCCACCGTCAGGCGACCGCTTTTCGAAAGCATCATCATC